GGTTTCGGTGAAGGCCATCAGGTCTGGACGAGTCTCCGAAGTAAGCAACAGAATTTCATCCAGCTTATTTCTCAGACTGCGCAAATTAACAGATAGCACGCGTAATTCGCTTTTATGCTTGACTGTCTGGGGGGGGGGGTATTCCTCCAGCGGGCTCTTGTGGTCTTCAGAATTACGCAAAAATCCAGGATATGCAGGTCGGTTCACCATTCGCCCGGCGCGTTTGTAGCTCAACTACAGCCTTCTTCAATTGAATTCGGTTCTCGGGAGAGAGGTCTCGTAACAGATACAACGATTAACCCTTGAGACGTGGAATCCGTCGCAGGATATGCGCGCACTCTTCTTCGTTTCCGCATACAATCTTGTGAGGGCGAACCTTGGAGGAATTCTCCTGCTTCCTACCAAGAGGAAAGGCAGACACAATGTTTATTCCTTGTTCGCCTGCGTCAAACAGTAGAGAAATCATCCGCTCGAGCAGTATTTGATTATCCAACATTCTCTCCGCTGAGGGAGCCTTGTCCGATTCGGCCGCGTTCACGATGATGAGACAACGGTCACGAGATGGTTGGATGCGCACTGAGATTAGTGGCTTACGGGATGATGGATTTTGCTTTATCACTTTTTCCTGCTCAGAGTCTGTTGAGAACTATCTTCATTTGTGACTGAGAAGATGGAAGCTCAGATTTATTCGAAGACAGTCTTAGTCTTGTTGACACATGTGGCTGAACATTGGCCACACGAGACCAAGGTCGCCTTCTCCTTCGCTACGGCCGCATATGACTTTGTTATAGGCTCACTAAGCCGAATATGTGTCAATGGATCCGCATGAGAAATAGACGGGGCTGGGATGGCCGCGACTTTTGGAACGTTGCTGAAAGATGCTTTACTGCGCTTTCTGGCACGCCTAGCAAAAGGAGCGGAAGAACATCTTTCAGTATGTTGATGTGGCAGACGTCTTGCCAACTTAGCAGTATCGATGCAATATAAACAAATCCATAGCAAACCTTTGTGCTCAGTATAGGTCTTGAAGAGCGGTTCAGTAAGTTGCGAGCAACGTTTTTGACCACATGCCCAAAGTTTACAAGCAATGTTTAGCGGAATCGCTCGGTCGCTATATGTCAGGTTCCTCCCGCCCCAAGGATAAGTCGTGAAGAGATGAATATAAGGGCGAGATATACGTTTACTGTCGAAACGCACAATGCCGGCACCGTAAAAATGGTTCTAGCTAGAGAAAAGGTCTAGTCACCAGCCGATACGAAGCAAACGCTCTTCGAGGCGGAAAAGTCGGAAGCGCGCGAATGCGATTCGTCTGGATGACTCAAACATATGTAGTCATCGTACCTTCGTCATTCAGCTCACATCTGGTGGGAACACCGCGTGAGCAACGAGCGTGTTCGACGCCTTGTTTATGGCACAGGAAAAGGAAATGAACCGCTCAGCACCGTTATTTCGCGCATCAGGCTCCGATGGCTCGGCCACGTGTTACGCATGCCAGCCCACCGACTTCCGCGACGTGTGTTGTTTGCGCGCCGGGCGTGTGGATGAAAGAAGAGGAGGGGTGGCCAAGCGATGACTTGGTCGAGAGGAATGAAGGCCCTCACTTTGAAGTTGGCCTCGGTTGGAGCGTCTCGGCTCCCTGGTTGCGGTCCGAAAGACGATGAACACATTTGGTTGGACACACTTGCTGATATGGCAAGGAGCCGACCTCAGTGGCGTTCGTGCTGTGAGTTTCTTTGTCCCACCCCATCCGTCTTAGCCTCCCCCTCCAACCACGATCTCATTATTTAGCCTTATATAATTTTGCATAGAATTTTTTTTTGGGTGCACAGCAGCCGGCTGGTAGCTTACCGAAACGATGCCCATCCGTTACCGGTAGTTCAGCCAGCTTGCACTAGTTGCGTTTTTCTCCTTTTTTTCTATGTATTGCGGCACAGTAGCTGAGGTGTTCCCCACCTCTAGCTAACGTGTATGATGATGATGATGATAATGAGTCACCGTGTGAACAGGCAAGCCTCCTAAATTGTCTATGTACAGAATGCTTTTATATTTTAATAACATTTTACACAGACAATCAGGACAATCTCCAGGTCACTACACAGCCCCCCTCCTAGACGGGAACTGTGAGTGACCCTACGAACTACGTGAGGACTGTCCGTCGCGAGGCAGCCTCCTGCGAGACCAAGCGGTGAAACTTGATGCAGCTACTGGGGAAAAACCAAGCGATCGCTTCCTAGCAAGCTGCCACCCATGTCCTTCCTTAAGGTGCAGATAAAAGAAAAGGGGGTGAACGTTCGTAGCACATGATCACTTGTGTTTGACCACGAGTGAATGTTCTCCGGTTTGCAACATGAAAAGAAAGAAAGAAACGGGGAGGTCAGGCATGCTGAATAGGCAACAGCAACTGACGGGAAAAACATTTACCTAAGAGGCAGCGAAAAGTCAAGGAAACGACTCTTTTTATCGGTTTTCCAAACGTTTCCTCCGTTTTTTCTTTGGTTTGCAAAGCGTTTTGCGATGTTTTGAGTTTTCAAACTCTATTGCGTTTTTTCCCGTACCGAGGCGAATGAAAACCTGAAAACGTTGTTAAAAATGCTAAGCTAACGTCCTACGAAACGTGTCGGCCAGTGAACCCGACGACTAGATCTAGGAACCTTTCTAGACGTGGCGGAGTCGGAGGGCTCAGGAGGCGGGTTTCCGGTTGTTGTGTTGCTGTCTGCAGGCGTTTTCTCCACCATTGGTTGGGTCGATTCATCGGAGGATGAATGACTGGAGTGCTCGTTCGACTTTGGTTCGACGTAAGCAACTCTGAGGCGGTCGATTGAGACGGTTTCCCGCTTGCCGTTTCGTTCGATGACGGAGAAGCGATCCTTATGTTGTAGGACCTTGAATGGACCTTCGTAAGGTCGTTCGAGTGGTTTGCGTAGACCATCAATGCGAATGAAGACCAACGGGCAGTGGTGTAGATCCTTGGGAATGTAAGACTTGCGATGCTATTCCCGTACTGCGGTCGGTTTATTGCGGCCATGCTCGTGGCTAGCAGCCGAGCGGGGTGCGTACCGTAGCGTGGGTTCGGGCTTTCATAGAAGAAGTCGTCTGGTAATCGGAGTGATTGTCCATAGACCATTTCGGCGCTGGACGTTTCGAGATCGGCTTTCAGTGCTGATCGAATTCCGAGTAGTACCATTGGCAGAACTTCTGTCCAACTAAATGCATTGGCGGCACTTAGCGAAGCTGTAAGCTGTCGGTGGAAGCGCTCCACCATTCTGTTTGCTTGAGGATGCTAGGCAGTTGTCCGGATGCGTTTATTTTCGAGTACTTTGAGTAGGTCGTTGAAAATCCACCATTCGAACTATGCACCACGGTAGGTAGTCACAGTGGCTGGACAGCCATGTGAAGCGACCCAGCGCTCGACGAATGTGCGCGTTATGATCTCAGCGGATACATCGGGAATTGAAACAGTTTCAGGCCAACGAGTGGCGCGATCCACCATGGTCGGGATGTAGACCTTTGGACGGTGGAAGTGGTCCAACAATGTCTAAGTGGATATGAGCGAATCGAGTTGATAGTGACGGGAAGCGTCCTATCGGGGCGGCAACATGTCGATGGACTTTCGCTCGCTGGCAAGTCAGACAGTTGCGTACGCAAAGTCCGATGTCGCGCTGCATGTTGGGCCAGACTTATCTGTCGGCAATTATCTTGACTGAAGCGGGGATGCCTGGATGCGCGATGTTGTGCAGCATTTTGGAGACTTTTCGGCGAAAGGCAATTGGTACCAGTGGACGTGGATGTCCGTTAGAGACGTCGCAGACTATTGTACCTGTAAACGAAGGGAGCGGTCTAGGTACCAAGTTTAACGTGGACTCTTCGCAGGATGAAATTAAATCTGTTTAGGCTTCAGAGCAGTGGCCATAGCTGACAGATCGAGCGACTAATCAGTCGGAGCCAGAGTTTACACTTGAGAGCGTGTCCGCCACGTTATCCTTGCCAGACACGTGTTGGATGTCCGTCGAAAACTGAGACACGAAATCTAGATGACGGACTTTACGCGGAGTGTCGGGGCGAAGGGTTCCAGAAGGAGTAGACGTGTGGTATGTGATCTGCAAAGATCGTAAAATGATTACCTTTGAGAACGTGATGAAAATGGCGAACGGCGAGTAACTCTCAGCCAAATGTGCCGTATTTCGACTCCGCTATCTGAGGGCGTCGGGAGAAGAACGCTAGTGGTTGCCAATTACCTAGGAATAAGTGCTGTAGAACAGCGCCGATTGCGTTTTCCGATACGTCCACAGCTACACTGGATGGAGCGTTCGAGTCGAAGTGATGAAGCATGAAGGCGGAAGCGAGTGCTTCTTTGCTAGATTCGAATGCTTTTCGTGCTTCAGGCGTACGATCAACTTTACCGTGGTTGCGTCCATGCAGAAGATCGGTGAGCAGTTGCATAAGCTCGGCGCAGCGTGGCATTAATCGGCGATAGTAGTTGACCATGGCATGGAAGCGTCAAATGGCGGCTATAGTCTTTGGATGCGGAAGGTCGCGAATTGCTTGGACTCTGTCCTGCAAAGGTCGGATACCCTCGGAATCAAGTTGGTGTCCGAGGTAGTCAATGCGCGGCTGCATGAAAATGCACTTGTCGGGGTTGACGGTGACGTGCGCCTTTAGCCGTTCGAACAAGAGTCGTAAATGTGTTCGGTGTTCCACTTCCGAAGAACTGGCCACCAGGATGTCGTCGATGGACGAAGTCGAGTCCACGTACGACGGAGTCGATGGAGCATTGAAATGTCTGCGCGACGTTGCGCAAACCGAATGGCATTTGTGGGGTGGTGGTATGTCAGCTGTACGCCGTAACGGCGCTTCGCTGCCGCGCGACCACCACCAGTCGCGCGCGGGCTGAGTATCCCTCGAGGACGCCCACCCCTACGCGGATTCGAACCGGTGACCTTATGGTTGCAAAGCAAACATGCAGACCACTCGGCCACCGGCCGACGTTTATAGGAACTCGATTAATCTAAATGATGTAATAACGGCGAATTTCGGTAGTTCTCGTCGGCGACCGGGATCTGATGATAAGCTCGCACCAGATCGATCTTTGAGAACACGCGAACGCCATGAAGACCGGCTGTAATATCCTGTATGTGAAGAATAAGATAACGATCCGGAATTGTCACGTTGTTGAGGGCGTGGTAATTGCCACATGGTCGCCAGTCTCCTGACTTTTTCGGGACCATGTGAAGGGGCAAAGACCAAGGGCTGCTGGATGGTCGGACGATGTCAACTTCGAGCATGTGCTCGAATTCGGCACGGGCGGTTTTAGGCTTGTCCGCAATCAGTCTTCGGGCTTTGACGGAGACGGGCGGACCCTTGGTAACCATGTGATGCGGCGTAGCTGCGGCTGCAGTTGACAGAGACGATGAAAGTCGGGAGACTTCAGGAAAACTCTCAAGTAACGCTTTGCCGGCCGGCGAGTTGGCAATGGTGTACACCGGACTGAGCGATGGTGCATCGCTGGATATTCCATCGACGGAAAGTTTCGTTGTCTGATCGATGAGACGATGTCGTTTAACATCGACGAGCAAGTCAAAGTGCTGAGGAAAATCCACCCCGATAATGAAACTTTGGACGTCAGCCACTAGGAATACCCATCAAAGAGAACGTCGCAGGTCGAGGTTAAGCGTGCGCAATCGCTGACCGTAGACGCGGATGCTGGTGCCGTTGGCTACGCGTAGAGAACCAGTCACTTTTCCGATTGTGTCATTGGGATCACATGGAAGGACGCTGACTTCTGCGCCAGTGTCGACGAGATGGCGAACTCCCGTTTGTCGATCGGTGACTAAGAATAGGCGACTGCGTTGACCAGCTACGTCCGTCGCCCCCACGTGCTGATCGGCCCGTTTTCCTGCGCGTTGTATTTGAAGCAACACGGTTGGCGGGCACGACTTGGCCTGCGGGCTAAATCACTGATGGTACCAGCAGTAGGAAGACATTCGGCGCGGTGATTTCGACGGTGATTTTGATTGAGATGGAAGCTGACGATTTGAAGATCGACATCGGCAACTGCTCCTAGAAGTTGTGAAATCGGTAAACTTCTTGGTAAGTGCGGCAACCTGCACTTTGATTTCGGCAATATCTTCTTTCAGCGTAGATCGAACTTGCGAAATCTGGCCGTAGAATTCCCAAAGTTGATCTACGATATCGGCCATCAGCGTCAGGGATGCGCCAGCATTTAAGTAGAGCATATTGCACATGGCAATCTACGCAGCCACATTTCCTTAAGAAATGTGTCGTCCACCATGTTGGATTTGACTAAACTTTGCATCTTTTGCAATAGCTGCGATATCTTGATGTCACCCAAATCCGTTTCGCCTAGAAGCTTCGTGATACGCTGACGATCTTAAAGACCCGTCTTTTTTGAGAATTGCTGCTTTACTTTCCTCGTAAGTTTTCCTCTCTGCCGGTACCTCAAGGATATCGTCGATATCCTCCGCGACGTGCGGAAGAAGCGCGGAGAAGACGTGGAGATATTTGATTCGTTCAGATCTGATGCCACGAAATTTGATACGTGTCTCTAACCGAGTATACCAATGTTTTGGATTGCTTTCGCAAAGGGGCGGAGTGGTGATGGTTGCATTGTTAATCTGGCTGCCGAGAACTGGGTGACATGTATCCATAGCGGAATAAATGATACCAAGTAAGCGATATAGAACCCGAAATATATGAAAATATACGAAAATATGAAAATGGATGAATGTACTGCAGAAGTGAACGAAGCTGGAAAGAAAAACTAGTAAACGGCTTAGCAAACTTTCGGTCGGGGTCACCAGTTATGGCGGAATCGTTCGATCGCCATATGTCAGGTCGTCCCGCCCCAAAGATAAGTCGTGAAGAGATGAATATAAGGCGATATATAAGTTTATTGTCGAAATGTAAAATTCTGCCAACTGAAGGCACCGTAAAAATGGTTCTAGCTAGGGGAAAGGTCTAGCCACCGGCCGGTACGCAGCAACGCTCTTCGTGACGGAAAAACCAGAAGCGCGCAAATGCGATTCGTCTGTGATTCAAATACACGTAGCCAGCGTGCGAACAGACAAGTTCAAGTTTAAGCGAGCCTGGAATGATAGGATTATCTCGTGAGTGTTCTTTCTTCAACGGGTCGTTGAACCAGGAGCTGGCAGACTGAAATACTGCTGGACCTAATACAAAAACCACATCACACCCTATCTAACCAATTAATGCCCACGTATCCTGTCCTAGCAGTCCCTGCTTGGGTCAGGTTACGTGAAGGAAAGAGAAAAAGTAAACTCAGAAGGCAAAGAGAGAAGTGGAAAGAGCTAAGCAAGTGGAATACCAAGATATTTGAGTCAATAAAAAAGAACTGAAAGTGAAGGTGAGGTCAGCTAGGAAAAAGGAAAGGTTTGCTTGTTGCCACCCAAGAGCATCGAGCTGGCGCGCAAAACCCTTAACAGTAGGGTTCCCTAACCACGTGATCTGGAAGGCGAATTCCAGCGATCTATAACTCGGCGCGCAGACGAGTTTCCGTTCCTAATCGCTATCAGACCGTGGTTTATGCAGTTTCAGTGGGTGACGCGGAGATTAGGTAACGAGGGGGACTAAATATCCCTGATATGTCCGGGCCAACCTTAGCCCGTCAAAATACGATAAGTGAGAATCAAGTCCCCTCTTATCCTTCGGTAGTGCATTGAGTACATCCCCCAACTGAGCAAGCGTTTAGGATACGTCTATCCCCCTAGACCCTGCACTAACTGAGTGCCCACACGTAAACACCCACTCTAAGTCCATTTTGTCCCGATTAAGACATAGTGGACAAGCCTGGATACAATATTCCAGGTGGGTCGGACGAATGTTGTGAATAGCTCCACAAACAAATTGACCGTTAGGATTCCGAAAGTGCGGCAGATAAACCACATCATACGAAAGCACCGACAAGCAGCCTTCTTCCAATTGTAACCAGAGTGAAATGCTGGTGAGTGTGCGACCCCTAAATCAACCTGCTGAGTGACAACAGGGAGGTCACCATCGCCGACAACATATAGGGTGGGAGGATTTGCAGCTCCGATTCGGAGAACAGCACTTGACCCTATTTATGGGCATCAACCATAAGTTGTCTATGTATAGGATATTATTTTAATAATATTTTGTATAGACAAACAGGACGATTTCCAGGTCACAACAAATGCATTGGATACCCTTAGTTACAATTTTCGCACAATGAAAACACTCTGAGTTAGATATAAGCGAGTGTTCTCAGAGAAAAGTTCAAGTGGGATTGGAACAGTAGGGTAAATCCCGGTGAATTTTCCTTCCGTGGCGCGTCGTCGACCTAGGGTATTATTCATGCGCGATAACTGGAATCCAAAAGAGTCAGATCAGCGCACGCAAATCACACCACGGTCAACCAATTAATACCAACGCGACCTGCATTGGTAGTCCCTGCCACACCGGTCACGTGAAATAAGCAAGTGAAGTACGAAAGTAATAACAGCGTCAAGAAAAAATGTAATAGATTTAATAATTCAATAAGACGAATAAGCTAGGACGTGAAGGGGAATGTTACGAATTGAAGGCTAAGAGCGTCGAGTCGGGGTTCGAACTCTTTCACTGTTGGTGCCAGCACCATGTTCTCGGACAGTGCATTCCAGGAATCCACCACTCGGCGTGATAAACAAAAGTCCGCCCGGACTCATTCTGATCGACGTTTATGTGGCTTCACCGAGTGACCTCGGAGCGATGGAAACCGAACCGGTTGGAAAAGTCTAGATAAATCGGGTCCGATTTTACCATTAGGTATGCGATAGGTCAAGACTAGGTCGCCTCGATGGTGACGATAATGCATTGAGGACATTCCCAGCTCAAAAAGCCTTTCTGGGTAAGAATGGTTCCGTAGTCCATTAACCATTTTGGTTCCAACACTTCACTGACATCTTGTCCCTGACTAAGCAAGGTGGACAAGTCTGGATGCAGTATTCCAAGCGTGGCCTGACAAAGGCTGGTAACAACCTAACAAACCTAGCGTCCGTGATGGTCCCGAATGCCCTGCGGATCATCCACATTCTGAAACCCTTGCACGCAGCTTTCCTCCAGTGTTCTCACTGGATTTAAATTCTGAAGACAATGTGACCCCTAGGTCTACCAGTTGGGAAACATGGTGTAGTTCATTCCCGCCAAGCAGATGACGCGTTTGGGGGCCATTTGGCCCTATTCGTAAGATGGAACAGTTTGCATAATTTATGGGCAACTGCCACAGAACAGCCCAGTTCCAAACTTTATCAAGGGCCCGTTGAACAGTCTAGGGTCCATCGAAGTCAGACACTGTGTGCCAAAACTTTAGGTCATCTGCAAACATGAGAGATGGTACCTCCAGCAGTTCAGGCAGCTCATTGACATGCAAAGAAAAGAACAATGGGCCAAGCACCGAACCTTGAGGGACCCCACTGAGGACTGACTGACGGAAAGACAGACTGGGCCCCATACGAACACACATCTCTCTGCCTTCCAGAAACGTGGTGATCTATTTTTGTACACACTCTGATATTCCATAGGACCGAAGTTTCAAGGAGAGGCGAGAATGTGATCCAGTGTCGAACGCCTTGGAGAAGTCAATAAACACTACATCTACTGCATGATTCCGATCCATAACTCGACAATGGTCAAATTTTTGTCACGAGTGTTTCGTCAAATACTGAGCTTCACGATATTTCACCTAAAAAGCTCGACCATTAAATAGCACGAAGTATGTAACTTATTCCAACATGTCACAATGCCTACTCGTATAATTGCAGTACAAACCGCATATTCCTGACGTTGTTTCTCTCATCGGCACAATCAGATGTCACCAGCCTAGCTGTCGTTCAGCCCTTTGGTACAAGCGATCACTGTGTAGTTTCATTCCTCTGGACTCGACGCCTTAATCTCCACAACCATGGTCGCCTCCGCAGAAATTTCTGACGAGTTGATCCCCAACGCCTACAAACGGCCGCCAGTACTGTGGACTGGAGTATATCCGAACACTTGATCTGAACGATGAGTGGCATATATATATATATATATATATATATATATATATATATATATATATGCCACTCATCGTCCAGATCCAAGTGTTCGGATATACTCCAGTCCACAGTACTGGCGGCCGTTTGTAGGCGTTGGGGATCAACTCGTCAGAAATTTCTGCGGAGGCGACCATGGTTGTGGAGAGTAAGGCGTCGAGTCCAGAGGAATGAAACTACACAGTGATCGCTTTTACCAAAGGGCTGAAGAACTGCTAGGCTGGTGACATCTGATTGTGCCGATGAGAGAACAACGTCAGGAATATGCGGTTTGTACTGCAATTATACGAGTAGGCATTGTGACATGTTGGAATAAGTTACATACTTCGTGCTATTTACTGGTCGAGCTTTTTAGGTGAAATATCGTGAAGCTCAGTATTTGACGAAACACTCGTGACAAAATTTGACCATTGTCGAGTTATGGATCGGAATCATGCAGTAGATGTAGTGTTTATTGACTTCTCCAAGGCGTTCGACACTGGATCACATTCTCGCCTCTCCTTGAAACTTCGGTCCTATGGAATATCAGAGTGTGTACAAAAATAGATCACCACGTTTCTGGAAGGCAGAGAGATGTGTGTTCGTATGGGGCCCAGTCTGTCTTTCCGTCAGTCAGTCCTCAGTGGGGTCCCTCAAGGTTCGGTGCTTGGCCCATTGTTATTTTCTTTGCATGTCAATGAGCTGCCCGAACTGCTGGAGGTACCATCTCTCATGTTTGCAGATGACCTAAAGTTTTGGCACACAGTGTCTGACTTCGATGGACCCCAGACTGTGCAACGGGCCCTCGATAAAATTTGGAACTGGGCTGCTCTGTGGCAGTTGCCCTTAAATTATGCAAAGTGTTCCATCTTACGATTAGGGCCAAATGGCCCCCAAACGCGTTATCTGCTTGGCGGGAATGAACTACACCATGTTTCCCAACTGGTAGACCTAGGGGTCACATTGTCTTCAGAATTTAAATCCAGTGAGAACACTGGAGGAAAGCTGCGTGCAAGGGTTTCAGAATGTGGATGATCCGCAGGGCATTCGGGACCATCACGGACGCTAGGTTTGTTAGGTTGTTACCAGCCTTTGTCAGGCCACGCTTGGAATACTGCATCCAGACTTGTCCACCTTGCTTAGTCAGGGACAAG